TCTTCTTCTTCCCACTTCCTCCCCCGCCGACTTCCCCTTCGCTGAGCGAGATTCCGCGCGCCGCCACCGAGGGTCGTGAAACGTCGTCGATTGTTGCATAGCCGCTCACCGCGACAGAAGACAACAACAACAAACAAACAACAACAAACAACAACAACAAACAGGGCTATTGTTTTTTGTGGGTTTTTTGCCACGTGTAGAAAATGCTTCGAGCGATAAATGCAACGCGTTCGGATGGTTTTTCATTTTAAAACTTCGGAATTAAAAGGCGGTGGGGTTGGGGGGGCTGTCACAGCGGCGTGGTTACCGGTCTGCGCCCGCAACCCGGAGTAGTCGCCGGTTCGACAGCAGTACCCGGTGCCGCGGTGTAAACGGTGGTGAATAAACCCTCCCCGCCCCCCAGACTCATCTCTGTGGGGGGGGGGGGGGGAGTGTTGGAGGGAGTGTGTGTGGGGGGTGGGGATGTGTGGGGTGGGGGGGTGTGCGTGGGGGGTGTGTGGGGTGTGTGGGGGGGTGTGGGGGGGTATGTGGGGTGTGTGGGGGGTGTAGGGGGTGTGTGGGTGTGTGGGGGGTGTGTGGGTGTGTGGGGGGTTAGTGTGGGGGGTGTGTGGGGTGTATGGGAGTGTATGTGGGAGTGTGTGTGGGGGTGTGTGGGGGTGTGGGGGTGTGTGTGGGGGGGGGGGGGGTGTTGGGGAATGTGTGTGGGGGGTGTGTGGGGGAGTGTATGTGGGAGAGTGTGTGGGCATGTGTGGGGTGTGTGTGGGGGGTGTGTGTGGGGGGTGTGTGTGGGGGTGTGTGGGGGTGTGTGTGGGGGGTGTGTGTGGGGGGTGTGTGTGGGGGGTGTGTGTGGGGGTGTGTGGGGGAGTGTGTGTGGGAGTGTGTGTGGGGGGTGTGTGGGGGTGTGTGTGGGGGTGTGTGTGGGGGTGTGTGTGGGGGGTGTGTGGGGGTGTGTGTGGGGGGTGTGTGTGGGGGTATGTGGGGGTGTGTGTGGGAGTGTGTGTGGGGGTGTGTGTGGGGGTGTGTGGGGGTGTGTGTGTGTGTGTGGGGGTATGTGGGGGTGTGTGTGGGAGTGTGTGTGGGGGAGTGTGTGTGGGGGGTATGTGTGGGGGTGTGTGTGGGGGTGTGTGGGGGTGTGTGTGGGAGTGTGTGTGGGGGGTGTGTGGGGGGTGTGGGGGGGAGTGTGTGGGGGTGTGTGGGGGTGTGTGTGGGGGGTGTGGGGGGGAGTGTGTGGGAGTGTGTGTGGGGGTGTGTGTGGGAGTGTGTGTGGGGGGTGTGTGGGGGGTGTGGGGGGTGTGTGTGGGGGGTGTGTGTGGGGAGTGTGTGTGGGGGGTGTGTGTGGGGGTGTGTGTGGGGGGTGTGTGTGGGGGTGTCTGTGGGGGTGTGTGGGGGAGTGTGTGTGGGGGGTGTGTGTGGGGGTGTGTGGGGGTGTGTATGGGGGGTGTGTGTGGGGGGTGTGTGTGGGGGGTGTGTGTGGGGGTATGTGGGGGTGTGTGTGGGAGTGTGTGTGGGGGAGTGTGTGTGGGGGGTATGTGTGGGGGTGTGTGTGGGGGTGTGTGGGGGTGTGTGTGGGAGTGTGTGTGGGGGGTGTGTGGGGGGTGTGGGGGGGAGTGTGTGGGGGTGTGTGGGGGTGTGTGTGGGAGTGTGTGTGGGGGGTGTGTGGGGGGTGTGGGGGGTGTGTGTGGGGGTGTGTGGGGGTGTGTGTGGGAGTGTGTGTGGGGGGTGTGTGGGGGGTGTGGGGGGGAGTGTGTGGGGGGTGTGTTGGGGAGTGTGTGGGGAGTGTGTGTGGGGAGTGTGTGTGGGGGGTGTGTGAGTGTGTGTGTGGGGGGTGTAGGGGGTGTGGGGGGTGTGTGGGGGGTGTGTGGGGGGTGTGTGTGGGGGGTGTGTGGGGATGTGTGTGGGGGGTGTGTTTGGGAGTGTGTGTGGAGGGGTGAGGCAATTCTCCACAGACGCCGCTGGCGAGAGGAATGCCCCAAGTCGCGGTGCTAAATATTTACCGGAGACCAAACCCGTCAGGTCACCCCGGTGTCGCAGCTGTATATGTTACGCGTGAATCAGTGCTGAGTTATTGTCCCCCGTGTATACACAGTGCACGTGTGTGGGGACACACACACACACACCACACTTGAGATTCCCGTACCGCCGTTGAAGAGGACTGTGATGGAAAGGTCAAAGTGATGTTCTGGCTTCAAGCGATGGCCTAATGTGCTCATCGTCTACTCTTCTACAGCATCCTGACTCAGTCATGGATATTTGGGGGAAAAAAATGTTTCATGGCAGCACAAGACAACTGCCGTTGACTCTTCTCATTTCAAGTTTGTTTCGCTCATTTTTTCCCACCACGGAGAGAACAGTTGCCGGATTAGGCTCGTGCCGGGGCCTGTAGCATCTGTTATAAAGGGGTCCTGAATAAATAAATAAAACTTTTACATTAAAACACACTTTTTTTTACTTGCATAGTAAAGTAATTGTAATTTTTCATTTGCTATACAGCCAGATAATACGACAAATCGTGAAACTTAAACACTCAGTCGTTCATACAAGTTGAAGGCAGTATAGTACTATAGTAATAGAGCAAGTGCAGAATCACTGAATCCGAATTGATCGCTTGAACGCATTTAGCGCGGGGCCCTTGAAAGTGCGGGACTCGTAGCAAATTCTAGATACTAGATTTGAAGCTTTCGTGACTGCAAGGATTCATACTCTTAGGTTTTTCGGTAAAGTCACATAGGCAAATAAATAAATAATAAAATATAATTGAAATAATAATAGAAATAAAATAATAAATCACGACGTTTCGGAGGCAACACAAGTCTCCGTCATCAGGTGGGACCGTCACAGCCAGATTTACTGTCTATTATTATTTCAATAATATTTTTATTATTTATTTTTTTACCTACGTGACTTTACTGAAAACCTAAGAGTATATACTCGTAGCAAATGTAGCTAACTTTGCTCCTAAGATAATCCGACACTGCGGAGGGATGATGATGATGGTCTCAAGTCAACCCCTAGCCAGGATTTGAATTCTAAATCTCCCATTTTCGAGAGCCACTCTCTCTCTGCCGCTGCACCACGTGACCGGTGCTGTTAGCAAGCGCCCATCGTCGTGATTATTATGATTCGGACTCGATCGGTCCATGAGTGAGTTTGTGTGGCCACCGTCCTCTCTCGGTGCTCATTTTGCTCCGCGCGCCTGCACAAGTCACCTCACGACCGAGTTAACATCAGGGGGAGGCCCTGGACCGGTTCAGTTAATAACCGATTCGTCACCTGACGTTGGCCGTGGCTGTGGATCACAATCGACTCCAAATGTACAGCTGGCGTCAGGGTCGAACCCACGACCTCCTGTATACCAGGCGAGGTAGTTACCATCTCGTCCACCCTTGCCCCTGATTGTCCTTCACGCGCCTCCTCCACATAGACCGATCTTGCCACCTCTGGTGAAATTTCATCGGCAATTCCATTCAGCTCCACCTCCTCCTGTAACCACACCAGCCCACCTCTTTCTCTACCCCGCGTTGTGCTAGTCTATTCCCCCTCTATCCGGCCAAACGGAAGCTTCTTGGTGGAGGTTGTGGCTGGGCATGCGGGGGGACATGACCCGGACAACGCCAATGCAACAGCCACGCTGCTGTGAGCCTGCCCTCTGGTGGACAAAAGTGCTCATGACAGGAATTGTCACCACTTACCGATCTGCCGATTGCTGCTTGTGTCGGCAGCGGTGCACAAACACACGCAGCAGCAGCAGCAACAACAGCTCCACACACACACTCGTAAACAACAACAACACTTTGTGAGTGGCCTATACATGGCAGTGTATAGGCCTCCGGATGGCGTAGAGGCCACTAAAATATTAACCTGAGTTGCGTGCCATGCTGTAATTGTCAGCACCCTCGTATGCCGTGCTGGCCTTGATAGGTGCTCGCAAACAGGATTTGCCCCAACAGTCCGTTAATGGCGAAACGTGGAATCTGTATTTTATTGGGATCGTACTGCGATGGCTTGAGAGAGACATTCATCCAGTAGTGAACAGATCACGGCTGACAGTTACTGAATTACGAGGATAACGGAGGATAGGTTGTTGCAAGCACGCAGGTGACAATCTTGGTATGCCTTTTTTATTTTAATTAACACTTCATATTAATTGTTAACAAATCAAGTCCACGGATAAATGGAATGAACAATATAGCAATGGTGACAAGTTTTCTAACCACTTTTCAACTTCACACGAACAGTAATGACATGGTTTAAACATCGATCAAGCGCGCGCTGTCCGGGAGACGACATCAAGCAGTGCCGGATTATCGTAGTAGCAGCAGTAGCTACATATGTAGTAGTAGCTACTACAAACGCTACGGGCCACGCACTTTCAAGGGCCCCGCGCTAAAATGCTTTCAAGCTATCGATTCCGGTTCAGTTATTCTGAACTTGCTCTATTACTATAGTACTATACTGCATTCAACTTTTATGAACGACTGGGTGTTTAAGGTTAGCGGTATGTCGTATCATCCGGCTGTATAGCAAATGAAAAAATACAATTACTTTACTATGCAAGTTACACATTTGTGTTTTTTTTTAATCCTTTATATTACGTTCACTTGCTTGCTTGCTTAGGACCGTGCAAATCTTTCGGTCGTTTTTTAACCCACTTCCCGTGATCCAATCGAGCTGACATTTTGCACACAGACTTGTTGTGCGTGACAATTTATTTTCGTGACATTTTTTCCCCAAAATTTTCAACATTTTAGGAATTTTTTTAAATATTTAATTACCAATTGCTTAATGGTGGCAGGCAATCATTTGACCCATAGGTGGCAGCCATCTCAAGCCAGAGGACGAGAGGACTCTAGCCGCCCGTTTCAAAGACCAATGTGGGCTGGGTTGTGGCCCATTGAACACGTACTGTAATTTATTTGCCACGCATATAAAGGATTTCTAGTGAAAAACTTTGTTTTTACGGGTTAATTTTTTTTATCAATTTAGGGCCACTTTACAACATATGCACCAGGCCCCGCACTAGCTTAATCCGGCACAGCAACCAAGGGTTCCTTCGCTTTGATGTTAGCAAAGTTCATTCTCACCGCTGCGATACGTTTACAGTCTCCTTTCGATGCCATCAGTTTGACACGCAGTTGGCTTTTGCGACCAATATTATTCGTAATAAATGTTTTAATTTTCTTGGGATACGATGGCGTAAGTGTAAATGCGTTGTTAACCTACGTCTGGCAAAATCGTCCGATGATGCTGAATGTAATTACCAGCGAAACGTCCCGGTACTCTAATAGTAAATATTGTGGATTTACTCTCCAACACCACCGGGTGGGCTGTAGTAGTAATTGGCACGTGTTGTTACCGTGACCAACTTTACTAATTGTGGCGGGTTTAACGACACATTTATACTCACGCTAACCCCAAAAAAGCGTTATTATGAATCTTGATTCAGCGTTTCTGCTCCCCAAGATTTTAATTCAACTGCCCCCCCCTCCTCCTCTCTTTTGTTCTATGGACAAAGTGAAATTAATTAAACGAAACCTTTATATTTCAGTCAACCCCCCCCCCACTGGCATTTGAAGTCGTGACATCAATGCCAGCAACGTAGAAATTATTTTGGGACAGACACCGCAGCCCCCTTTTTAAATCCTTTATATTAAGTTCACTTGCTTGCTTAGGACCGTGCAAATCTTTCGGTCGTTTTTTAACCCACTTCCCGTGATCCAATCCAGCTGACATTTTGCACACAGACTCGTTGTGCGTGACAATGTATTTTCGTAAATAAAAAAATCCAAAATTTTACACCTTTTAAGAAAATGTTTTTTTTATATGTAATTACCAATTGCTTAATGGTGGCAGACAATTATCTGACCCATAGGTGGCAGCCATCTCAAGCCAGAGGACGAGAGGACTCTAGCCGCCCGTTTCAAAGACCAATGTGGGCTGGGTTGTGGCCCATTGAACACGCATATAAAGGATTTATAGTGAAAAACTTTGTTTTTACGGGTTAATTTTTGTTTTGTTTGAAGGACATCCGCTCCCGACGTCCCAAACTTCCTTTGCATCACGGCCTCTCGGTCCACTGCCGAATGAATACTGCACCTATGTGCGCCACGCGCATCCTCCCGCGTAAGACGCGCGGCATCGCCTGAACTCGCGCGGCCCTAAAGGGGCCGTCCATAAATGACGTCACGCGATTTTGGAAGATTTTTGACCCCCCCCCTCGTCCCAAAGTCAGACCCTCCCTAAAATATGACGTCACAAAGCTCTGCCCCCCCTCCCCCCCCAAAACCATATTTCCATTGTGAAAATAAAACATGCTTCAAATCGCCTTAAAACGATTGTCATTGTAGTGCGTATTTAATGTGGCGCTGCACTCTGATGTTGTAGGAGTGTTGCTATAACAATTAGTGTCGTTATAACAATTCTATATTTATTTAAAGTTGCGCATTTTGATGTGACGTCACATTTCTCCCCCCCACGTCATTTATGGCCGGCCCTTAACCTGTAAAACGCTGACGGGCTTATTTTGTTACTTCCCAACACAAGGCTGGCCTACGACGTACAAACTTGTTTTATTCTACCCCCCGTCGGCAAACGGGAATGTTTTTTACCACCGTATTAAAATTACCCATGCCGCCTCGCGGTGCCGTGACGTCACAAGCCACCACGTGTCACCGCTGCCGCTCCGTACCATCCACGGGCCGTGACCAGCCGCGATCTCGATCGATCACAGGGGACTGAGATCTCCTAGAGACCATCGTGTACACATGGATGGATGCGCACCAAGGGTGCTCATAACGAACTAATGCGTAAAGTTCAGAGACTTGTTAAGCGAATCCACTACTATATAAAACTTAGTGATTTTTTTTAGTAATTGTCAAACGATCTACATTTTTCACCCATCTGTATAAGATCACCGTGTTCTCCAGACCATGAGCAGGTTCCTCATCTGTACTGTATTTAAAAGCGAAAGTTTGGAGGTGCATCTTTATAACATCCCCGTCAACCTATCCGGTTTACCCGTATTCGTGTACAGGGACATTTCATTTTCAGGTCAATACGGGCAACAACTAAACAGTCTGTTTGTTTCTCCCTTGTGATGGAACGTTATAGGATGAACGTTGAGATGTATAAGGGCACGGGGTGACCAATAAGGTCTGAATTCATCTGTAATAATGTAACTACTGATAAGGGATTAATGTTATACTCTTTGGTTCTTTCGGTAAAGTCGCGTACATTAAAAAAAATAACATGAAAATAACTAAATTAAATCACATTTAATTGATTTTAGTTATTTTCATTTTACTATTTTAAAATTAAATCACATTTAAATTGATTTAATGTAGTTATTTTCATTTTATTCTTCTTTTTCATCTACGTGACTTTACCGAAAAAACTCAAAGAGTATGGATCCTTGCAGTCACGAAAAGTTCAAATCTAGAATTTAATGTTATTATCAGGTAGGAGTGCGTGCGTGTGGCCGGATCTGGAGAGCGTTACTGATGCAGGACCACAAGTTTTTTTTTGTTTATGGGGTGCGTCTTAACTTTACCAGAGCGTTTCATTTAGATAACACTGGTCAACAAAAAAAAAAATTCTGGCCTGGACTTTTGCAGCTGTTTTAGACTAATTTCAGGGTGCCGATTCCAAATCTGATCTCAGATTTGCTCTATCACATCTCATTTTTATGCTATCGGCATACCCCATTTTCATTGATTTTACCCGAAATTAACTGTCACTTATTATTGCAAGTTGTTGCGAGTCAGTGACTGCTTAAGTGTTAAAATATGGTGCTGTATTTTTAGGATAGTGTGTTTATAATATCATTTTATGTAGATATCCACATTTATTTAATATTTTTCTTCTGCAATTTTTATTGAAAAATGCAATATTTGATATCTCAAAAACCTGATGTGATAGACAAAAAATGATGCCAGATGTGAAATCAGCACCCCAAAATTACATTAAAACCGTTGGAATACCTTATGCCAGAAAAAGTGTGTTGACCAGTGTTATCCGAAGAATGTGATAGATCATATGAGGGGTGAATTATTCCTCCAAAGTACCTCCAATCTGAGAGCTTGTTCTCAAAGCGATGTCAACGACGACTCCTTATACAGAAACAAAATTTCGCGTCACGGGCCACCGTGTGACGTGACCATTTGATAACTTTCCATCGCAACGTCATCTTTTTTTTTGGTGGTGGTGGGGGGGGGGGCTGCAGTGCAGTGTTTTTTGGAGGAAAAATTGTTCACGGGTCGCGTACAGAGATTTGTTGAAACTGTCCGGGAAAAAAAAAAACACGCACTGGGGTCTGCAAAAAAAATGGCAGAGCAGTAAAAATGTGTTGAAGAACCCATTCGTGTGTATGCTGGGTTTCATCCCCTCTTGGGTAGGGGGGGGGGGACGACCAGTACAGCAAATTCTTCCTTTCACACGAAGCAAAAACACTTTCACAAACGGACTTGGCTAAACATCCCAAAAGGTAGCAGCAGCAGCACCCTTCCTGGAAATGATCTTCAGACTCGGTGAGGCTTTAATGGATAAGTGGCATTATAACAAAAAATTACATTATTAATGAACAAAACCATTGTTATGCACGAACAACAAGAGTGAAATGTATAAAACAAACGAAGTCTCAGTTGGCTATGCATGCCCCACTCTCACACTGAGCGCTTGCGTGTTTTTGAAAAGTTATCACATAAGCACACTCCTAGTTAAGCTATGCACTTTAAAATGTGAATTGAACTCATTTTTTTAGAACTGTCGTGTGTTTAGTTTGTCCTTCCCAAGCACGGTTTTGCTGCGTACGGTGCAAAATAAGTTCGACATACATTGTGGAATGGAGATTGTGTTCCATTAAAAAAAACTTTCCATGCAGATTTTTTTCTGTATCAAGACCAGTGTTCTCCACCATTTGGAACTGAATTCATGAGCCACGCACACGACATTGACACTTTTTTTGAAGACAGGATCCAACTCACGTTTCGGAATTTTGTTCAGTAAGAGTTAACAACATTCTTTGTAAAACTTGTCAGAATGTTAACTCCATTATTATTGGTCCGATTGAATCCCCTATTGGTCCAAAAGAATCCTGTTCCATCAGTTTGTTTCTTTCTGCCAACCCCCATATCACGAGCTTGAATCACCGTATTATTTCTCTCGAATCATCATGCACTTGTTCCCGCAAAATTTTCAGGCAAAAGTTGGGAGGTGCGTCTTTATAGCCGGTTCGAGGTACGTGGTGCGTGCGTGTGTGATTTGCATAATTGTCGGCACAGGTTCCGGGAGTGTGGAAGTATCTTACAATCCGGTAGGAAAACCAACCTTGTCGCAGCAAAGCATGGTACGGTAAACGTCAAATTGCCATGGAAATGTAAAACCGATGCGGCAATGCACGCGAGCTACGAAGTCGGTTTACAAGAGGCTCTCGTTACGTTACATAAACAACCAAAATCCTCAAAGTGTGCGCAGAGTAGAATTACTCCATCTATAATAAATGCTCCACCCCGGCAATAATCAATTCCCCAGGGTCTTTGTCTTGCAAAAAAAAGAAAATAGGGAGCAATTAATTTCAATTAGTTCTTGCCTGGTTAAATAAAGAATATCGACCAACTGAAATTATAATAATATACATCTAACCTCTTTTAACATGAAATTATGTGGACTTCTCGTATGCCTTCAATATAATTACAAGTCTACAGTATATCATATTCTGCGCGGATTATATTCGGCTCGCGGAGATATTGGTCCTCTCCTCGTCGTTATTTATGGCACCTGGTAGGAATTCCATTCTCACATTGCACAGTCGCGCGCGTCACGTGGGCTCCTCCGTGTTACAATGGCCGTGTCGAGATCTGCGGGCCCCCTCCCCCCCCCCCGTGCATCTGCTGCAGCTTTCAGGGGAGGGGGAAACAACGCATTTTGGATCCATCTTCTTGGTTCTTTCGGTAAAGTCACGTAGAAGGGAAATAATAAAAATAAAACATAATAAAATAATTCTCACGACGTTTCGGCCACAACGCAAGCAGACGTCCTCCTGTGTTGTGGCCGAAACGTGAGAATTATTTTATTATGTTTTATTTTTATTATTTTATTACTTCCCTTCTACGTGACTTTACCGAAAGAACCAAGAAGATGAATCCCTGCAGTCACGAAAGCTTTAAATCGAAATTTTGCATTTTGGATCGTCCAGGACAATTCCCGATAATCTACACCGCGCTAGCTGTGCGTCTTGGCGCTGACGACGTCACCCGACTCTACGACTACGGCGGCGCGTGTTGGGAAAATCTGCAGACGTCGTTTCGGCGGCACCAGTTGCGGGGGTGGTGGGGGGGGCAGCCGCGTGATTTTTTACGATCATCTGAAAATTCACACGGACACGGCCTTTGGATACTTCTCAACTTCAGTCATCTGAAACTCTGAAAGCATTCCCCGCAGATCCTAGAAAAGTGATTGACACCCTATAGACACCTCGCTGATTTCGAATTACCCTCTTCTCAACAGCCGATTGGATTTTGTGAAAGCGATGGCTCCTCAATGTTACAGTAACGATGGTATTATATCGAGATCGGTGGGAGAGATGTGTCATGGCTTCGAAATAAACTATTTTCTCCAAATTTGCATTGTTCTGGGGTCTCCTATAAACAGATTAGCATGTAATATATGGGACTGCAAAGTGGCGGCACAAAAAATGGACCGAATCCATCTGTGCTGAGCTCGGAGTGGTGGAGGGGGGTGAGACCCGTTGAATGTCGATGGCTTGGCCGCTACGATTACCACCCAAGTCCCCATACGCAACGTCGCACCCTAATTGTACCACGCACATTTTACTCATTCATCAAGCACGACGGCTCTCCGTTGTTAATGTGCGCATTGTATTCTTTTCAATGAGCAGGGTTAGCAGCCCTGATATTATGAGTTCAAACCCCTAACCAGATGACTAAGGCCCATCATCAATCCCACTGCTGGATGGAGGCCTCCCCAAGCCGTTGCCATCGCCCATGATCCTGCGACAGAATAATCGACCCAGCACATGGCAGGATCGTGAGAGACGCTGACCGCTCGGGTAAGCCTGCCAAAGGAACGGAACTTCCGCGGATATCTACTGCACCCGCACACCACTGCCGTAGAGGGAGGTGGGGGGGGGGACAGGGTTTGGGAGTGGGAAGCCGGATTGACCACTCCTCCGCAAGTGAGCAACAGAAGCAGCCTCGGCAAGTTGCATCAGCAGTGTCAGCGCCGTGATCGCTAACACCAAATAAACATGCGAGAGCCGCGCACAAAGACAAAGATCGCTCGCGTAGCCCGACAGATGGACAAAGATCGCCTGACAGACCGTTGGAGCAAGTGTCGTGAGCGAGCGCCTAATTAAGGCTTAGAATGGCGCATGAGGTGTGGCTAGAACCACGCCCGGCCGCCCGAGTTCCGACATAGGCCACCGCCGATGCTCGCCGTGGCCGCAAATCAAATCCAGGTCACCGGGTTTGATGCGCAGGTGTGCTAACCACAACACCACCGCTCCCCTTACAGATACAACACATATCTGTGCACATGCACGCACGTGTCTGTACGGCCCCATGTTTGTGTACGGAGACTGATTTCCCACTCCTCGACCGCTCCGGTTTGATGTCCGTACGAGAAGATAAACTGGCTGAGAATCAAACTCGAGTCGCAGGCTTCCGTGGCGCAGTGCGCAAACCGCTGTGACACCGCTCCCCATAGCCACACGTACTGTTGGGAGCAAGTGTTGTTGTGTTTGCGTGCACCTATTGACACGCACACAAATTACGCGGGAAAAAAAACAGATTTGAAAAATGTAACGATGATCACTTTTGAGTCAGATTACGACTTTGCGTGCGCCTTAAGCCGCCCAACAACGAACGGCGTCCCGGGGAGTTAGGCAGTGTTGTAGCAAAGAGATTTTGGACCGCGGTGAGTGCGCGTGCGCAAGCGTGCATGCGCAAGCGTGTAAGTGCCCACACGCGCGCGCGTGTGTGTGTGCGCGCGCGTGTGCTTGCATCGTCGGATCAAGCGCTGGTGTGCGTAGGGGTGCTTGGCTGGTTGAGGCTCATGGTTTTGCACAACCATCCGGCAAAATCCACTTCCTCGGCTTCGGAGCGCTTGATGAATGCGTGCGTCTGTTGGGAGTGAGAGGGAAGGCAGGGGGGGGGGATGAGGCGAGACAGGTTAGTGCGTAGGAGGCGAGAGATGGGGGGATGAAATTGAGAGCGCACTCCATCGCACAAACTGTCTCGCGCAGGGGGCGTAAATTTACACAAGACGGCAAATATGTCCACGCCTCTGTCAGCAAGTCTGGATGCCAGCCACTCTGCCTCTATCTTCGTATTGGCTTCTTTGTCCCGTGTCTCTCAGACAGAGGTCTATATGAATGAATGACTGTCAGAAAGTCTTATCTATGGTCCGGGCAGCAATTCTGTTTGTCTGTCTGCACAGTGTCTGTGTGTGCTTCTCTGTCGTGTTGTCGGCAAGCGTGTCTTTCTGTCTGCTATTACGAACGTCGGTCCGTTTGCTTGTCCATCTGCCAGTGTGTGTGTACGTCTGTCGGCGTGTCCATTTGCCTGCACGTCGAAATGTTGTACAAATCCTGGGTGTGAAGTGTCCAATGTGTGCCCTTCCTCACCATCAGATACTTGAGGTCGGCTCGCTCTGCCGGGTTCTTTATCAAGCTGTCGGACAGACGCACAACACAACACAAGACGTCCGGATTTGAGTGTACTGTGACCGAGCGATAGTGCGTGCATCCAACCGCTTCTTGCGTAGGTTTGGCAGATCAAGTGCTGTGTGGCCCACCCCCTGTTGATACTGCGGCGTGCATTCATACTCAACGCTATACGCCATCCTCTTGACCGTGGGCGTTAAAGATCCCGTGACATTTATTTGAAAAAATGCGCGCGCCATGCATGCTGGCGTCACCAATTCGCATCAACCAAATATGAAATGTTACACTAAAAATGTACTATTCATTGGGCTAACACAACAATCATCCTTTCAGTGTGAAACTACTGCAGACTGTCTGATAGCCTTGTGCTCGATAAGTATGGCATGAATACCAAATGCACTCATGATTTGATTCACAAAGTGGCTAATCTGTATGCATATGTGTACGTATGTAGAGCAGAACCCCTCTTGATGACGGTAATTGCTTCTACGAAACCGGTCGTTAAGTGATTTGGCCATTAAGTGAGTATAGGAAATACGTGTTAAAGGCTTAATTTGTTCGAATAGCATCGAAAGTTAACCTTTTTCACCCACAAAACGTACTTTTTACACATAAATGGTTATATATTAACACAGAGATACTAACATTATAAACACATACTATTAAAAGAAACATGGTTAATCATTGCATTCATTAATGTTACTGTACCTACAACAGCCCGTCGCGAACACATTGGGCTCTATGGAGGCACCACACTAGATTACACTATACACTACACTACTATACACTACACTATACTACTATACACTACATTACACTATACACTGCACTACTACACTACACTACTATACACTACACCACCACTATACACTACAATACTATACACTACACTACTATACACTACACTACTATACACTACTACACTACTATACACTACACTATACACTGCTATACACTACACTATACACTACACTACTATACACTACACTATACACTGCTATACACTACACTATACACTACTATACACTACACTATGCACTACACTATACACTACACATTGGGCTCTATGGAGGCCCGTCGTTAAGCGACAGTCGTTAACAGGAGTGGTCGTTAAGAGGGGTTCTACTGTATAAGTATCGCGCGAATACCAAATACACTCACGATTCGATATACAATGTTGCTGATCTGTAAGCATGTATGTATGCGGAGATAACCCCCACCACGCTCCACTCCCGGAGATGACTCCACCAATTTCACTGAGTGATGCGCCATTTGAAAGCTCTTCCATGTGTAGTTTATGCAAATGTGGGAGTGAATCACAGACACATTTGACCTTCAATCCAATAATTGGACTTGTGTTGCTCCAGTGTTTGTTTGTGGCTACCATTTACAGTGGGTAGCATAATACATTTTCAAAATCATACCGTGAATAGGTGTGCCGTTGCAGAGGGGGGGTGTGTGGATGGGTGGGTGTGCCAGTGGCGATATTTGTTACTTAAATTCTTTCCAAGTGATCTATTATCATTAAGCCTCAACAGGCTTTCTCCTGGCTGGTTTTATAAGTTTGAATAAGTATAACCCGTAAAAACAAAGTTTTTCACTATAAATCCTTTATATGCGTGGCGGCTAGAGTCCTCTCGTCCTCTGGCTTGAGATGGCTGCCACCTATGGGTCAGATGATTGTCTGCCAGCATTAAGTAATTGGTAATTAAATATTTAATTTGTTTTCCCTAAACAGTGTAAATTTTTGGAAAACAATTTTCACGAACATTAATTGTCTCGTACAACGAGTCTGTGTGCAAAATGTCAGCTCGATTGGATCACGGGAAGTGGGTTAAAAAACGACCGAAAGATTTGCACGGTCGTAAGCAAGCAAGCACGCAAGCAAGCAAGCGAACTTAACATAAAGGATTTAAAAATACAATGCAATAAGATGAACAAAATATACACGAATTTTAAATTTCTGCGTAAACTAGGACCCACGTTTCGCACCTCCGATTAGCACGGTTGGCTACGTACGGCGCGAAAGACGTTGAACACGCATACGTAGCTAACAAGACGGGGTCCCTTGCATATAAACATTTGGTAGTGCATCAGGATTGGTTCAGGGCAAAGACCTGATTGCTGATAAGACACACAATGTCAAAACGCAATGTCGAGAGTTTTTCCAATGAACCAAATGCTACTGAAATGTGTGTAGGGTGGCGAGAAGAATTATCTCAGTCTTAATCACAGATATGTGGAGCAGGCATACTGTCCGCACTATTTATTTATTTATTTTGTGCTGATATAGTAGTGTAGGATTTGGAGGTGTGCATCTGTTTGGTGATGGAATGCCGACAGAGGAGGACTGAAATTCTCTTACCATTTATTTACAAAGTCCTGGAAGTCCTGCGTGAAGACGGCGCAAGGCAGCTTGGGTGGTGGCTGCAAGGGGACACGGGTGAAAAAGAAGACATCATCATCAGCCACTGCTGAATGAAGGCCTCCCCAAATCACCGCCGTCTCTCACGATCCCACGATGGAATAAATCCACCCAAGCACATGCAGGGTCGAGAGAGAGACGGAAACGATTTAGGAAAGCCTGCCATAGAAACAGACTTCTGCAGATATCTACCGGGGTCTGCCCAATGCCGTGGCGATGCAATACTCCGGCACAGGAGCCCATTTCATGGCTCCACCACCTCCACGGTGAGACATCTGTGACATTTATAACGAGACAGTCTTGCAGAGGTGTCAAGACTCTTTCTCAGGAGGATCCTGCTACATTGGCATGTTTTGCCTATGTGAGAAACCCCCGACAAAACCCTTGAATGCTAACCGAGTGATACTCAAAGCTCCACACAGCTTCGTATAATCCACGGTTGGGACTAATTAATCTCCCCTGGTGACCACGCAACCGATATAAGTTTTCAAAATGAAGCGAGATGTGCTGCTTGGATTTTTCATACTCCAAAAACCAAACGGCTCTCACCTGGCCATGACAACACCTTGTCCCAAGGCTGTCCTACTAGACTTTAAAGAAGAAGATGGTGATCATTTGAACATCCATGAAGTAGATTTTTACTTGGACATAGTATCGACCAATTAAAGACTGTGATTTGGATAGCTAGTTTTAATCCTTTCTTGATGCGGAAAAAATGCTCAAAATACTGTGGTCTCGGATGTACTCGGACAAACTGACGCTTTCATTACACCACAAACAAGCCATGCTTTCAAATGAGGGACCCCTGCCACAGCATCGTAACGTTCAGGGCACCACACTTGGAATCCAGGTCGCCAGTTCGATTCCATCTCCGGCGCAGAGGTTGATACAACGAGGCAAGTTTCACAATCCCCCCCACACCATCCCTGTCCACCCAGCAGTCGAAATGGGTACACCACAGTGAGTCCCCATTGTGTGGTAGGGTAAAAGGTGGGTACTCCCATTCCAAGACATCTGGTTAGCATAGAAGTGTAGGCCAAAACTCCCTCCTAGAAATCCGTAGAGTGGAGGCCCTTCCACCTGCAGTGGCATGGGAAAGCCATTGCAAGGCCTGCACCTTTACAAACATTTATTTCACTTTATAAACTATAAACACCTTGGTTTTTTTGTTTGTCCTTCCCCCGCACCTCCGATTAGCATGGTTAGCTACGTAGAGTGCGAAAATATACCCCGTTTTAAGTTATTAAAATGATTTAGACAATCTCAAATGATGCTGCCTAATTTGTGGAATGATCAATTTCTATGACTCTGGGCCCCCAAGGCTGGCAAAAATCTGCACGGGCGTTCCCGGGTTCCCACCTCATTCACGATGTAATCCAGCAGTTCGAAGATTGCCATGGGAGGCCGTGCATCCATGTTGTACGCTGTGGGGATTGGGAGCCGAGAGCAAACAGAGGTGGGAGCGGAGAGGGGAGGGTAGGGGTTCAAGACGAGAGCATGATTTTATTTTTTTTATTATAACCAGAAGCAGCTCCATAATGTTAGAACATTCCACGCGAGTCTCCCAGCTTGTGCGTAATCGGAGCGAGCCATGCCGGGTAAAAGATCGCGAGGAATCCGTCATGAATAATACATTACAGCAAAAGCAAAAAAACACCTTATTACTCAAACACACAATACTGAAAAGTGTAATGTTTATGAATTGTATTAGTCACATTATAAATATTGCTAGATTTTAAAAGCAAGGTGCAAGGATGCAAGTCAAAGGGTCCTCCCCTATGTAAGTTTATGGGCCCTTTGTTAGTTTACACATCCTATGAACGTTAATAGACCCATATACTCTATGGGTTCTAGCTGAGCCTGTGGAATTGTACGGTGGGGCACAGTGCTGAATGCAATATCGTATTCGGAGCGCGATTCCCAGCCACAGATCCAGTCCTGTGTACCCCCGACCTCCCTGCACTGATCAGCGTGGTGAAGTGTGTTCAAACAACCCCAATGACTGACATAGGCATGGGGAGGCCATTGTCCAGCAGTGGATTGACAAAGAACTATAAATGTAATCATTTTGTCAAAGTGCCCATTGTATGACCGGGTCCTTCAAGTTTCAAGTTTCATTTATAAGTTATAGCCCTGTGAGACATGCGGCTCTTAAGTCGGGTGCAACCGCAACAAACAAAATATGAACACAGAACATTTTAAAGCGACGACGCGTAACAGAAACATCCTTGAATAAACCAGCAAATATTCCAAAAAAAACCGTATTAAAACGCTGTGTGCAAAAATCCCAATGTGGTGCAAGTCAAACGTAAAAAACCATAAGACAATTTAGATTAACCATATGTTTTTGGGGGCCGTGGGTCCCAGTGGAAGTCTTCAGGTGCCTATTTAAGTTTTTCAATCCCTACGTAAATGGTCGGGTCCTAATGGAAATGTGTCATACGCAAGTCCATGGGTCATAATTTCAGCCCATAAGTTCGAAGACTTTAAGAATCCTACGTAAATATCTGGGTCCTATACATGACGACAACAATAACGTAATCTCTCTCGATCTCCCTCCGTGTCCCTCTCCCGCCACCACTCACCACTGCCGGGGCGTCCCGGTGGCCTTGGCCGAGGCGACGTGTTGTTCTGCATCGCCTCGGCGCCCTCGCTCACCGCCTTGCCGAAGATGCCCTCCAGCTCCTTGGCCTCGGGAGGTGGGATCGGGTAGCGGCCAATGGCCATCTCCACCAACGAGAGGCCCATGCTCCAGATGTCCGACTGCACCGAGTAGTGAGTGCCCTGCAGGCGCTCCGGCTGCGCGCGCACGCAAACCAACGACCGTCACGGTGCCGCTGCCGCGCCGGCGATTGTGTCGCGGCTGTCTCGCGAAACCCCAGAGGGCACAAACGCGATTTTCGATTCCCCGCTCGCCGTGACCAACGTCGAGTGACGAATGTCCGAACTGGTCGTGGGCCCTCCAGTAGGTCGACTCGGCCTTAAATGAGTAATAGTTTAAGAGAATGGCTCAATCAAATCCACCGACTTGGCTAAACTCGACAGGCTCGTTGTTGACAAGGCTAAAGATACGACTGATATATCAATAAAAATGTATTACTGAACAGATTAACACTGGCCGAGTGCGGTTACACGCAACTGTGGACAGTAAGTTTTTCGGTAAAGTCACGTAGGTAAAAAATAAATAAAAATAATAGAAATAATAATAGAAATAAAATAATAAATCACGACGTTTCGGAGGCAACACAAGTCTCCGTCATCAGGTGGGACCGTCAACGCTAACTTGATGCAGTAATCACTCACTTGTACTCACTTGATGCAGTCATTTTAGCTGTGACGGTCCCACCTGATGACGGAGACTTGTGTTGCCTCCGAAACGTCGTGATTTATTATTTTATTTCTATTATTATTTCCATTATTTTTATTACTTATTTTTTACCTACGTGACTTTACCGAAAAACATAAGAGTATGAATCCTTGCAGTCACGAAAGCTTAAAATCTAGAATTGTGGACGGTAAGTTGCGTGCGGTTGTACGTGGTGGCATGTGGTTGCGCGCGATCGAGTGGTTGTTCACAATTGCGTGCAGTCGCGTGCAGTTGCGCACAGTTTTGCGTGTAGTTGCGTGCGGTGGCAACAAGGTTGTGCATTGGTTGCGTGCGGTGCGCGGCGAGGCCGTACCGACATGTAGGAGCGCGTGCCCACAAACGAGTTGGCCATGGAGTCGATGAGCTGCCCACTGACGCCGAAGTCGCACAGCTTGATCTCCCCGCGCGAGTTCACCAGGATGTTCGATGGCTTCACGTCTGCTCCACCAGGGCGTGGAGAGGGATTTGAAGCATCGACAAATAATTGAAGGGCTTGGCCAGATGGCGGGTCATGAGACATGTGACAACACATGGATTCATCGATCAGAATCCACGCTTCCGCTCGGGGGTACACATGCATCAGATTAGCGTGAAAGTCTCCCAAGATTCTCGATTTTACGCAAATCTACGATCCAACATTACAGTTTGTCTTATGGTGAGAACTTAAAACTGTACAAAGGAGATGGGGGGAGGAAGAGAAACAATTAAAAAATCTGAATTAAAATGAGACAGGTACTCGTAGAATCTTTTATGGAATCATGGCCGCTAATCACGATGATACAATTGTCTGGTGGACGAAGTATTTGACCCTTAGGACTAAATAATAATGATACGTCCACATTAAGCACACACCAATCGTAATCATCATCAGCCTTGGTCAAGCCACTGCCGGATGGGAGGTCTTCACCGAACCGACGCCGTAGCAATCCCCTCCCCCCACTCGCACCTATACGCTAATCTAGCTTGCACAACGCAAACAACGTATGGGCACAGCCAACACGCTGACTTGATGACGGTAAGGGAGGTGGAGGAGTTTTCACAATTATTGATGGATAAAAGGGAATCAAAGTTCAATCGTATACAGTTGCGCAGCACTATCTAAAAGAATGATGTGTGGTGGTGGGGGGAGGGCAGCACTGCACTATGAACCCAGTAACCAGAATGCAATTTGCCGGCCACAGCTAACATCCACGGTTGAGTGACATCCAGGAAATAAAAATTGGTGAAAAACAGTTAATCAATAATTCGATAAGGGATTAAACTATTTTTGAATCAGGCGAGGCCTACTTAGCTTTTTAGCTTTTCAGAAGCGACCTGGCCACAAATGATCACTCAACGAATCGGCTTACCACAGGGAAATACATTAGCAACCAAACACTCTAAAAGGCATGTTGTTTCTACGTGTGGAGGGAAAATCCAGAGGACCCGGAGAAAAATCCACGCGACCGCAGGGAGAGAGACGTGCAAGCTCAAAATATGAAGGCATAAGGGGTCGAGATTGAACCCACGACCTCCTGTAGACCAGGCGAGGTAGTTAAAATGTCGCCATCATCAAAATCGGTGAAAGAATACCTGAACAGAATCTGGACAGATTTAGCCTTAAATGAACCTGGTGTGTGCCAAAACATCAGCACCTGGGGAGAGAAAGGTGTTCGGGAATAGTTCGGGCCATCCAACTTTCGTACGCCGTGCTGGCCTTGATAGGTGCTCGCTAATAGTACTTGCCCCAACAGGCTGTTACTACCTCTAAAAAGTACAATGACCATCTTTGTGGCACATCAAAGAAGACGCTACTAACGAACGCTACAGCCGCGGCACTGAATAATACATTTTATTCAATTTACAGAAACGTTTTGCAGTTGTTGGGTCACCTGGCTGAAACATTCAACTCTCTAGCATCATGGGCAACAGATATCCGCATTTAACCAGTGTAGTGTAGTGGTTTGCGCTACGAACCCGGCAAACCAGGTTCGATTTCCGCTCGCAGCCAACACCAGTAACGAATATCTAAACCGTTCCTGGGCTTTCCCTAGGTCGACTCAGCCTCAAATGAGTACCTGGTGGGGTGTGTAAACATCGCTACTTGGGAGACAAAGGCGTCCCGGCGTGGTGCTGGCCACCCACTCCCTCGTGTACTGTGTCGTAGGTGCTCGCTAACAGCACTTGCTCAAACAGTCTGTTCAAGGCTATAGGGGGGATCTTTGTCTTTGTTTTTCAGACTTACCAACTAAGCAGCACAGAGCCGTTTCTCAGCACGCAAACCACACGAAACAATATCTCCTATAATTCACGGATGTTGCAATGCTCGGCATTGCAACATTTGGTAACCGATGCCGTTTGGTGAGCATTGTGCATTTGATTAAATATTAAAGATTACATTGTTATTGTTAGAAAAAATGTAATATCGCTCGCCATGGCCTGACTCCTCTGACATTTGATTTCGACGCTGCACGAAAAATTGATTGGTGACGTTAATTTAACCGTGAGACGGCCTCGTTCGCGTTCAGTCTCTTTTGCGAGAGGAGCTTGAAAAATATGAAGATAAATTTGATCCGCTATATATATAAATAAATGTAAATATTACAAATAATCCTTTTTGATTCATTGCATTTGATCAAAAATAGCGAGAACTTTTAAATAGTATTATTGTCTTGCGAATTTCACCGAGAGGCAATCATGCTTCTGATGCAACGTTGCAAAAAAAAATGCAATAAATTTTTTTTGCAAAAGTCAGTCTAAAATTTAACCAGGAGATGAAATAAACATATTGAGACAAGTAAAACAACATTGCCTCTTCTTGTAAAAGAGGCACCCTTTAGGGCTACATCGAGACATGTCAAGTACAAACAAGATTATTATTTTTTTTTTCAAATGTACAAATCTAAATTATAACAAGAATGCAGATTTGAATTCCACTCAAGAGGTGTAAGGAAGCGTCGACGAAGCCGTGACTGTGTCGGCCACCTCCAACAATAGCCGCAACCCCGTGTACATTTACAATTCATCTCTTCAAATACTATCGCCATGGCGACATGGCCGTTACCCTGGATACTGCCGCCCTGCGGGTGCGCGCTCGGGTTGCTCGGCAAGAGCAGGACACTCACAAGCCCCGCACGGCGACCTATCCCCAGCGCCCATATTTATTTTTACGCTAAACATTTTTCGTACAATTTAACGAAAGGCACTTGCCATCGCTTGATCATGCCAGTGCTAACGGAAGCCCCCCCCCCACCCACCCACGAGAGGGAGCTGTTGAGAGTAGCCCCTATCGAAAGGAGTTCCCAATATTTCTGAACCCGCAGGGAACCGCTGTCAACAATCAACTTTGTTTTTTCCCACCTTCCCCCCCCCCCCACGGACCACCAAGCACCGATAACATCTTCTTGATTCTTTCGGAGAACAGGTCTGTCAGGAAGACAGCGTCTTCAGACCTGTCAGGAAGACAGCGTCTTCAGACCTGTTCTTCACCTGAGGACGGCTGCTTGAGTTGTGGCCGAAACGTCGTGAGAAATATTTTATTATGTTTGATTTTTATAATTTTATTATTTCCCTTCTACGTGACTTTACCGAAAGAACCAAGAGGATGAATCCCTGCAGTCACGAAAGCTTTAAATGGAAATTTCACCGATAACATTTTACAAATTTAAAACGACTCTGAATCGGAGCATCGGCACCACTGGTCCCCGCAGACCACAAGGTTGGGAACTACAGATAGTCCCCCGAGTTATGATGGTCCGACTTACGATATTTCGATCTTACGATGGCAATAGCGATACGACAAAATTGTAAAATATTTTAAATTTCGCGCGGCAGGCAAACGCAGACGTGTGCGAGGTACGTTCTTGGTGAGTACAGTACGATATATGTTACGATACGTTCAATGCATGTATGATACATAGCTTTAACGATTTCATTTTAGGGTTACCACGATACGATACGTTCAAAAGCAAAAGTGTTTATAGCAGATAGGATTGTTTCCTGAAAAAACTTTCTATTAAATTGCAGTTCATAGCAGTAGGCTAAGAATTTACCTTGGTTTTTTTACTTTACATGTTACTGTGCAATACAGTATTGTAATTAATAAATACATACAGTATATAGTTTATACAGCACGGTACTGTAAATTGCTCTGTTTTGCGAAATTATCACCATTCTTTAAGACTCCTGGGTAGGCTAGGCCATCTTCGACTTACGATATTTTTGACTTACGATGGGGCCGTCGTAACGCATCTCCATCGCAAGAAGAGGGCTACCTGTATTACTTGAGAGGGTATTTTAGCCTACATTTCAACACTGGCCAGATGTCTCGGAAGAGGTGGAAGTTCCCACATTTTACTCCACACCACACGTGACCTGCCACTCAATGCAACCGTGTTGTTACCCATTTATAATTGCTAGGTGGACAAGAGGCAGGATGATAAAAAAAAACCTTGCCCCAATTGCTACGCCAAGAGAGATAAAATTGAATCGGCAAACCTCCTGGATTGCAAGTCCATCGTCCTAACCGTCATGCCACCCACGGCAACTTCCTTTTCATTTAATATCACCACAAAAAGCAAATATTGGCAGAATTCCTTGAGGGCAAAAGTCAACTTTGCACAGTAAAGTTTACACCAAGGCGCAAAGTGCACAAAGAAGTGCTGGGAGTGCAAAGGTTAAAACTAATTATAATTAGGTCCTAAAGAAGGCTGTCTCTAGTCTAGACCAATCAGTTTCAAAGACAATGCATATATTACCGGTGCATGTTTTTATTTGCACCGCACAAGTATGTGTGGTTAATGCAGACATGATTCCTTGCAAAAGGTTTCTGTTTGGTGTTTGAACACTTTTTTAAAAATTTTCTTACTGTGGTTTTCACATCTGATGACGATTTGCTTGTGTTGCAATCGAAATGTCGTGATAATTGTATTGTTTTATATTTTTATTATTTTATTGTTTCCCTTCTACATGACTTTACCGAAAGAACCAATAACATCTTAACACAGTTGTGTAATTGTCATAAAGGGTAAAACCTATTCTTATAATGATGATAATTTCCTTTTATTTCGTTTATTTAGTCTCAGGCTCTATTTTTTTTCGTGAGGGTCCTGCTAGATTGGGGTGTTTGGACTAATTCCATTTTGTATTTGGCACATGGGAGGAAACATTAGAGGAGGAAAAACCTCAAAGCATTCCACGGAATCAACCAATGTACTGCCACCTGGCCACCTCGCACCTTTAAAGGAAGATGCAAGATACAAAAACAAACATACTCTTTGGTTCTTTCGGTAAAGTCACCGAGGTATGAAATAAAATAAATCACGTCGTTTCGGGCGCAACACAAGCGTCTGTCATCAGGTGGGAAAGCATGGTCTGCTGCTGATGGGTGTAGCCCAAGGGTCATAAAGAAGTGGCCGGGGCTAGTGATGTTACTGTGAGAAATTAGCATGTAACTGGGTTCGGAAGTGGCTACGATAATGTGAGAGATTAGCATGATGTTAAAGTGAAAAATTAGCATTAACTGGGCACTGAAGTAGCTATGATAATGTGAGAGATTAGCATGATGTTAAAGTGAAAAATCAACATGTAACTGGACACAATTTTAATTTTGCATATGCGCACCTGGGCTGTGTGTTCTGGAGTGCCACACACGAGCTTGAAGCTTAGATAACGAGAAAATTAAACACCCTTCTAAAGCCACCATCACGCAGTCGAGCAAAGCCCTCTAAAGTCGCGAAACTTGCATTGAAGCGCCTGCGAACATTAACTTTTAGTTTTTATCTATGCCCGCTCAACTCAAAGCGACGTCTCACCTCTATGCATGATCTGATGTTTCTCTCGCAGGTATGCCAGTCCTTTGATGACCTGCAAAAATCATTCACGGATGCTCTCAATGGTGCGCGGGGGTTATTCATCATCATTTAACATCAGCCATGATTTATCCACTGCTGGATGACCCCACTGCTCTCCAAATCTGTCGCCATCTACCGCTTGTCCTGCGGTGCAGCAATCCGTCAAGCTCCCGCACAAGTGCTGCTCATCCAACATGTGCTGCGGATTTAACTTTGCTCCATCTCCGCGACGGACGATATCTTGGGCGCGTTCTGTCCCTTTTGGCAAGGTTACCGACGTCTGATGAAACCTAAGGAGGTTAGCGCTGCAGCCATGCTCAATTTCGGATGTTCTTGCCTACAGAAGCCCGCCAATACGATGACATTCAGAAAAATCATTTGTTGTTTTAGTGCATACGGCACTATTGCCATTTTAATTAAAAAGCACACACAATCGATGAATTATTTATTCATGGAGCGGCCAAGGCCTTTGGGCACGGTGGCACTCATCCAGAAGCAAGACTCGGTGGCTCACACATATTTGTAAAACTCCCAAAAACCACTGGGAATGACAGTACAATGAGTGGGTTAATTAGCCTGTCTGTATAGATCTGTGTGCAATATCCACCTCATATTTGTGAGTTTCCACTGGGTACTGCGGTTCCCTTCCTGTGCACAAAACCAATTCCTGAAAAAGGGACCGGCCAAATATCCTGACGGGTTTGTTCATCCAATAACTGACGAATGACGACATTCTGTCGATACCGCCAGTCAACCTTTGACATCAATTGGTGGCCCGTTCTCCTCTGCTGACCCTGCTGTCTGGAACTCCCCCCCCCCCCTTGTTATCTGCACTGCTGATTCCATTCTTGTTTTAATAGTTTGTTATGTCACGGTATATATACAATGTGCCGGTACCTGTCTGCCCTCTTGGTGGGGACATTCCCACAAGACTGTTGCCTTTCCCAATTCACAATTTTTTTTTTTACCCACAGATTATGACAAAAAACGTCCAATACAAACCAGTGGGAGCGGAATCATCCACGAGTTGGGCTCGCGACGTACCTTACGGCGGGCACCAGAGGTCGCAACCGGGTACCCGATACCCGATACCCTACCCGATACCCGGCTACCCGTACCCGGCCGGGTACGGGTACCCGTTTGCGACCCTGGTGCGGCCGGGTACGGGTAGCCGGGTAGACCATGAGTCACTGGTGAGTAATTGTTTGTCACTCATTTCCCAACGTCTTGTCTCTTCTCACAATTCAAGTTCCTAGAATCAACCCACCCGCGCCTGCAACATGGCTTCATCCCAGAGGTCGCAATCGGGTACCCGATACCCGTACCCTACCCGTACCCGGTCGGGTAGGGTACGGGTACGGCCAGGTACAGGTACCCGTTTGCGACCCTGGTGCGGCCGGGTACGGGTAAGGAATCAAAACTCGTTTGCGACCTCTGGCGGGCACACAAGAAGGCGGCTTGACGGCAATGTTTACTCACCGCGATGCTGACCTTGCCCAGGATCTCTTCCGGGATGCGCCCGGCCTTCTTGAGCACGAGGTCCAGGGAGCCACCGTCCTGGGAGGAGGGACACATGACAAAAGGGTTTTAACCGTGCGGGACGAACGGGCCCATGAGCCGTCGAGGTTGCATTTTAACCGGCGGAATGGGGAGTGAACAATCAGGTGAGGCATTCTGTGACATCATCATTAAAAGCCCAACCTCCAAAGTCTATTGACCAATGAACCTCGTGCTGAATTCACTAGGGTACACGGTATTCATTATGCATGTAAGGATAAATACATTAATCGAGTAGGAAGCTCGTAATGCAAGCGTGGGATGATGTGAGAATTTATTGAATATCAACTTGCGTGTGCTGTTGAAGCCTTCGATTAAATCGTCCGACAAGCGCCTGATCTCGTCGGGATCTCAAAAACCAAGTCGGCTCGAGCCTGGACAGTGCTCGCACATGGTGGACATGCGGTAAAGTGTAGGGAGTTGGGCGTAGGGGTGAGATCTGTGACGAGCCCGCAGGCGAGCGGGAGATGCATTCATGAAGAGCAGCGTAAGGATTTACAAAGGAGCAGTGCCCATGGCGCTTGGCAGTAAATGGGGACAGAGCACTCTCCATCCCTACAGGGGCAGTGGCTGTTCTACGCAACACAATGGACACGTTCAAAAAGCAATCCCATTTGGTGTGCACAAAGAGATACCCTGAAGTGAAGCAGTCGTATTGATTGCCATTCACTATTACTTGCCATTCCTGCTTTGTTTTTGAAGTGTTCCTTTTCTGTCAGTACACTCAACTCGATTATTGGGGGTAATGGAGGGGGAGTACAGGCCAAAGTATAAAAAAAAACCAATGGCAATTAAAAAATACGGGTAAAAAAGAAAAGGCGGTATTGATCATCTGTGTGGAATGGCGGTGAAGACATAGGACGCGTCCGCAGGTTTTTTAATCGCCACCTTAAAGTAATCGGTTTACCCGCCATTGCATTTGCAGTCATGTGGCCACCAAGTCATTGACCCGTGCGACGAGTGAGGAATAGCGAGTGATTAAGATGGCATGCGGTAAACAGCGGCGGATGAGCACCGTTCAAACGTAACCCCGGTAGTCCGCGCACGGATAATCGAGAGTAGAGCCTACATCGGTTCATCAACAAAAGATCATAATAGTGAAGATTTCGTGATCGATTAACTCGGGTCCGTTGAAAAATTGCGGACCCCGCTCCCACCACCCTGCCTCCTGAATGCAGGAAACTTCTTACAAACCAAATATCCACGGGACGTCCTTAGACAGATTTCTACGCCATCCAGCCTCGGGCCCACTCTAATAAACACCACCGCTTCCGAGGTTGCGTGAAAGACAAGCAGATGAGTCGGCATCATTTCTGAGTGTTTTTTTTTTGGGGCCGAGCTATTTTAATTAGGGGGCCAAGGTGGCACTGCCGGCTCCGAATTAATACCGTATTTTCCCGCATATCAACCGCATACGCATATAACCCGCAGATGCATATACCCCGCAGGGCAATGTTTTGTTTGTAAAAAGTGGTATACCCCGCGGGTTATATGCGGGAAAATATTGTACATCATGAGACGGGTGAGGACGAGGTTGGTGGTTCACGCTGGGATCGTCACATCCACGTGATACTCAGCTGCGGAGCGACGAGGGGGGGTGCTGCCTGTCGCGGGGGCGGTGGACGTGTGGTCCCCAACCTCGGTTGGAAAGCGGTCGTGTAAAAACGGTGTCAGGCGCTCAGTTTCGTAAATTCTCCTGCTACAATATTGGGGGCAAAGAATGTGTCCCCCTTTCATTGCTTCTCAAGTAATCAATTTAACAACAAATTACGTTTGTGTAGCCTGGGTGATGGACAGACAGCGCTCGCGTATAAATAAACAGGCCCTTGTGTTTTGGAGCCGTGGTCAAAATATTCAAAATTAGAAAAAAAATACCTGCAAATTACCTGATTGAATTTCGATTTAAAGCTTTCGTGACTGCAGGGATTCATCTTCTTGGTTCTTTCGGTAAAGTCACGTAGAAGGGAAGTAATAAAATAATAAAAATAAAACATAATAAAACAATTCTCACGACGTTTCGGCCACAACGCAAGCAGCCGTCCTCAGGTGAAAACCAGGTCCGTCGAGGCGACAGAGTCTGAATGAAACAGCACACGAGCTTGGAGCATATATATAAGCTGGGCGCATTGACAAAGGAATTTGCATATCAAAAGGAATTTAGCATATTTATGGAAAATGCAGGAATGTGATTAGTACTGCATATGCATGTACATTATGCAGGATTAACAGCATCAAAGGGAGCTGCAGTTACTGCTGCTGCAGCAGTTGCTGCTGCTGCTGCTGCAGTTTCTGCTGCTGCTGCTGCAGTTGCTGCTGCTGCACTTGCTGCTGCTGCTGCACTTGCTGCTGCTGCTGCACTTGCTGCTGCTGCTGCACTTGCTGCTGCTGCTGCACTTGCTGCTGCACTTGCTGCTGCTGCTGCAGTTGCTGCCTTATCCATTTTAATATAACACTATGTATTATTCTACCCACCCTAATGTGTATCATACTGCTATATGTTTACTGTACAATTATGACACCATACATTACTCTGCACACTGCACCATGCCAGTGAGTGGAACGCGGTCTGAAAGTCACCGTTAACGTGAACACAATCAGTTAAGATCCGAAATGGTTTATTACGTCCTTCCAATGATTGCTAAGCCAGAATCCATCTTCTCGGTTGAAATTGTCTCTGTGTTTGTATATGTGGATCGCCTCATGAACGAATCTCTCATGATAGCCAGATGGCTTGCAGAGAACCTCTGTCTTGGAGAAGTCAATGTCATGTGAGCCCACTGAATTGTAACAGTGATCTGCCACGGCTGAGGTGTTTGTCCTACCGTGTTTCAGGTCTGCCTTATGTTCACGGATGCGGTCCGAGACATGTCGTTTGGTTTCTCCAATGTAACTGCTACCACAGAGGAAACTTAGTTTGTAGACGCCATGGTACTGTATGTCTGGAACCACATCTTTTACAGACGGGACCAGATCACGGATTTTATGTACTGTGTTGAATCGGACCTGGATCTTGTGTTTAATCAGGATTTTGGAGATCTTTTTTGTGACCCCAGCAATGTAGGGTAAGGTGATGGTCTTGAAAGGCTCCTCAACAGGATCCTTCTTGATGGTTGGAGTGATGGCTTTGCGGATTGTGTAGTCGGAGTAACCATTAGCCTTAAGAGCTTGGCGTACGTGTTTGAGTTCACTGGAAATGTGTTCATGGTCGGAGATGCATTGGTCTAGAGCAGGCCGGCCTGCTCTAGACCAATTTCTCGACCACATCAATTCCATACACCCAGCCATCAGATTCACCATGGAAGTCGAAAATGATGGCAAGCTACCCTTTTTGGATGTCCTAATCAAAAGGAGACCTGATGGTTCAATGAGCCACTCTGTCTACAGGAAAGCCACCCACACGGATGCTTATCTAAAACCGGATTCCCACCACCATCCATCCCAGAAGAATTCCCTCATCAAGACTCTATATCATAGAGCCCAATGCATCTCCGACCATGAACACATTTCCAGTGAACTCAAACACGTACGCCAAGCTCTTAAGGCTAATGGTTACTCCGACTACACAATCCGCAAAGCCATCACTCCAACCATCAAGAAGGATCCTGTTGAGGAGCCTTTCAAGACCATCACCTTACCCTACATTGCTGGGGTCACAAAAAAGATCTCCAAAATCCTGATTAAACACAAGATCCAGGTCCGATTCAACACAGTACATAAAATCCGTGATCTGGTCCCGTCTGTAAAAGATGTGGTTCCAGACATACAGTACCCTGGCGTCTACAAACTAAGTTTCCTCTGTGGTAGCAGTTACATTGGAGAAACCAAACGACATGTCTCGGACCGCATCCGTGAACATAAGGCAGACCTGAAACACGGTAGGACAAACACCTCAGCCGTGGCAGATCACTGTTACAATTCAGTGGGCTCACATGACATTGACTTCTCCAAGACAGAGGTTCTCTGCAAGCCATCTGGCTATCATGAGAGATTCGTTCATGAGGCGATCCACATATACAAACACAGAGACAATTTCAACCGAGAAGATGGATTCTGGCTTAGCAATCATTGGAAGGACGTAATAAACCATTTCGGATCTTAACTGATTGTGTTCACGTTAACGGTGACTTTCAGACCGCGTTCCACTCACTGGCATGGTGCAGTGTGCAGAGTAATGTATGGTGTCGTAATTGTACAGTAAACATATAGCAGTATGATACACATTAGGGTGGGTAGAATAATACATAGTGTTATATTAAAATGGATAAGGCAGCAACTGCAGCAGCAGCAGCAAGTGCAGCAGCAGCAGCAAGTGCAGCAGCAGCAGCAAGTGCAGCAGCAGCAGCAAGTGCAGCAGCAGCAGCAAGTGCAGCAGCAGCAGCAAGTGCAGCAGCAGCAGCAAGTGCAGCAGCAGCAGCAACTGCAGCAGCAGCAGCAGAAACTGCAGCAGCAGCAGCAGCAACTGCTGCAGCAGCAGTAACTGCAGCTCCCTTTGATGCTGTTAATCCTGCATAATGTACATGCATATGCAGTACTAATCACATTCCTGCATTTTCCATAAATATGCTAAATTCCTTTTGATATGCAAATTCCTTTGTCAATGCGCCCAGCTTATATATATGCTCCAAGCTCGTGTGCTGTTTCATTCAGACTCTGTCGCCTCGACGGACCTGGTTTTCACCTGAGGACGGCTGCTTGCGTTGTGGCCGAAACGTCGTGAGAATTGTTTTATTATGTTTTATTTTTATTATTTTATTACTTCCCTTCTACGTGACTTTACCTGATTGAACTTATCGCTTATCGCCCCTCCCTACTGGCAGACTAATGACAGCCTGCAGGTATCTAGTCACCTACAAAAGACACAAGGGACAGCTGCTACTGGAGGGTGCCCTTTAAACGTTTTTGATAGCAGGACAATTAAATCACCTACCACCGGTTTCCCACCATATGTCGCCTCACTACTCTCGCCTGGCACAGAAGCAGCTCACGGTAAAACCCTATGTAGCGGCGTCACTCAGACCAAGGTCTTCAACTGTTACAGCCTCACGTCACTAGAAACTACACTACTATACACTGCACTACTATACACTACTAAACACTACACCATACTGTTCCAGCCTCACGTCGGTTCTCTGCTGTCAGCCCCTCAGTGTCGAACCTTCCAATCCCTTTGCACATCCGAAACATCAAATGCACTTCGACTTTCAAGAAACATCTAAAGGCCTCTCTATCTGTGTCGGGTCAGGGCTTTCAAGCAGGCCTGAGTTTGGCTCCACACCTCTGCGTTGTTTGACTTATCTGAAAAATCTGGCGCGTTATAATTGTCATCATTATTATCGCATATGAAGTGCTTTGAGACCCCAGGGTTGCGAGATGTTATCTCCCTCTCCTGCTATGCAGGAGGTCGTGGGGTTCGCGATCCCGAGCCTGATGCCTGTATGTTTGGAATTTGTGTGTTCTCCCCGTTGCCGCGTAGATTTTTCTCCGGGTCCTCCTATTTTCCCCTCCGCAGTTAGAATCAACGTGGGTTTAATTATTTATTTTGGCTGCTATAAATTTCCACGTGAAAAGCCACTTTGTTGAGCTATCATTTGTGGCCAGGTCGCTTCTGAAAAAGAGTTAACAGCTCAGTGGACCTTAATATAGCAAATGAAACAATATTTTTTTAGGAGCTCTATTTAAAACAAATTATTACCGTCATTACGAGGATAGAAGCCATTTTGCGGCAACGGAAAATAAGAGACGGCTGTCATTTTCACACTCTTCTCACAATTCTGAACTTGGGGCACTCAAAGTAATCTGCTTTTTAAGTAATAAAATGTCATAATATATTGGTACGTTTTTATATTCTCTAATATTTAAAGAATATACTGGTGCAAGAATTACCTTAAGAGCACAATTTTTTGTTAATTAGTGCAATTTTACGTCTTCTTGGTTCTTTCGGTAAAGTCACGTAGAATGGAAATAATAAAATAATAAAAATAAAACATAATAAAATAATTATCACGACGTTTCGGCCACAACGCAAGCAGCCATCCTCAGGTGGAGAGCAGGTCTGTCGACAAGACAGCGTCTGAATGACCTGCTCTCCACCTGAGGACGGCTGCTTGCGTTGTGGCCGAAACGTCGTGATAATTATTTTATTATGTTTTATTTTTTATTATTTCCCTTCTACGTGACTTTACCGAAAGAACCAAGAAGATGAATCCCTGCAGTCACGAAAGCTTTAAACCCAATTTTACGTCGTTAGATATTATTATTACGACTACGCTTTGAAACTTTGAAACTTCTTAGAGCATTTCAATTCAACGTTTATCTGTACAACAGAATATCCCATTCAGCCTGCTAACCAGCTAGTCTGGATGGCAACGGCTTGCAAGCAGTCACTAACGACAACAGTTATCGTTGGGCTGGAGCGGAACCCAGCGAGAAGCCAGCAAGGGAACTCGAGGCATTGACTATTTGTAGTAGTAGCAGCATTGATGATTAAACCTCAATTGTAAAGCACTAAAAATTAACCCGTAAAAACAAAGTTTTTCACTATAAATCCTTTATATGCGTGGCATCGGTTTTATTTTATTATACATTTCTGTTTTTCTTGAGTAAGAGTTTCATTTTTATCACATTGGCATTTTAAATTAAATATGCATTTTTTTTTTCCTAAAAAGTGGAAAATTTTGGAAAAAAAATTTCACGAAAATAAATTGTCACGCACAACGAGTATGTGTGCAAAATGTCAGCTCGATTGGATCATGGGAAGTGGGTTAAAAAACGACCGAAAGATTTGCACGGTCGTAAGCAAGCAAGCAAGCACGCAAGTGAACTTAATATAAAGGATTTAAAAAGGGGAACACGAGGCCACGTAAACAATCACCGCGCTCGCACGGAGGTAGCGCTCGCAAGCACTCTCGCCGATGTGCGCGCGCCAGGGGCGCACCCATAGCTCACCATGTGCTCCATGCAGATGCTGATCTCCCCGTCGCTGTAGAAGGCCCCGTAGAAGCCCACGATGTACGGGGAGTTGCACTCGTGCAGCACCTGCAGCTCGCGGATTATCTGGTTTCGGATCGCCGGCTTGATCTCCAAGTGGATGAGCTGCGGGGGGGCAGGGCCGCATCGCAGACGGAAGGCCGTCGGACGAAGAATTAACAACGTGGCCTGGAACAAAAAAGATTATATCGAGCGAACACCACATCTTCTGCTCCGGAGGAGAAGAAAACACCAAACAAACATACGGTGTCGCCTTTATAGTACATAAGAAATGAGCGAATAAAGTCATCAACTTTACCCCAGTATCAGAACGAATAGCACTACTACAATTAGCAGGCAACAAAGTCAATGTGAACATTCTACAGGTTTATGCTCCAACAGCAGACAAACAAGATCATGAAATTGAATCGTTCTATGAGCAACTAACCAACACGCTGAAGCCGCTGAAGAAACAAGACATCACTATAATCCCCGGCGACTTCAACGCCGAGGTTGGCCACGGTCGAATGCAGAACATTGTCGGAGAACACGGACTAGGAACAAGGAATCGACGAGGCGACAGACTGGTTCAATTCTGCCAAGAAGAACGTTTCAGTATTGCTAACACGTGGTTCCAATTACCACCTCGACGACTGTACACGTGGACCTCGCCGCAAGACTCCGACAACAACATCGTCAGGAACCAAATCGATTATATCCTAATTAACATCAGGTTCAAGTCCAGTGTGATTACAGCAAAAACCTACCCTGGAGCCGATATATCGTCAGATCATAACCCAGTAACAGCTACAATAAGACTAAAATTGCGATCAATACAATGTACAAAGACGAGACGAGCAGACCTGGAGAAACTGAAGAACAGCGCCGATAAAAGACAAGTACAGCAACATCTCAACGATAGCATCCGCTCAATAACAACAGAAACAGCAGATGTTCAGGAGTACTGGCGCTCGTTCAAACAATGCATCACAGAAACAACAGAAGTCATGCTGGGACACCAGTCACCGAAAAAGAAACAACGATTGATGACACAATATATTTTCGATCTAATGAGCAAACGAAGAATGTACAAAAATAACAACTTGGAGAAGTACAAACAAATGCAACAGAAGATCAGAGAAGCAATCCGACCGGCAAAAGAAAAGTGGATGGAAGAACAATGCGCCGAGATTGAAGAACTAATTAAAAAACATGACAATTTTACTATGCACAAGAAGCTCAAAGAAGCTGGTAACATCTACAGACCAGCCCCAACAGCTACCTTGTATGCGGACAACAACCAACCAATCCTAAATAAACAAGAAAAAATGGACACCTGGACAAACTATATACACAAGCTCTTTGGCGCCGCGAGAACACCTGCAGAAAAAGACCTTCAGAAGTCGAAAGACGCTCTACACATTTTAACATCAGAAGTAGAACATGCAATCAAAACAGCTAAGTCAGGCAAAGCGTGCGGCCCCGACACAATCCATGTAGAATTGCTCAAACTATTAGACAGCAACAACATACGACAACTGACTAATTGGTACAATCAAATATACAATGGCAATAAAATTCCATCCGACTGGCTACAATCCATCTTTGTGGCCATACCAAAGAAAGCAACAAGCTGGAAATGCGAAGACTACAGACTGATAAGCTTGATGAGCCACGTGCTGAAAGTCTTCCTGAAGGTGATCCAACAGCGCATACGCTCCACATGCGAAGATGCATAGAATAACACACATTTTGGCTTCTGCAAAGGACTAGGCACAAGAGAAGCAATTTTCCTTCTACAGATACTACTACAGCGATGCTACAAACATCAGAAAGAAGTGTACATCTGCTTCATAGATTACGAGAAAGCCTTTGACTCAGTAGACCACGACCGACTAGCAGGTCTATTAAAACAACTGGGACTATATAAAAACGACATCAACTTCATCATTGCTCTTTATTGGAAGCAAACAGCCCAACTCCGATATGACAACGAATTGACAGACCCAACACCAATACAAAAAGGTGTACGACAAGGCTGCCCACTGTCACCGAGTCTTTTCAACATCTACTCGGAGCAGATTTTTGATCGAACACTAACAGATAAAAACATTGGTATTAAAGTCAATGGACAATACATCAACAACATCAGGTATGCCGACGACACTGCACTGCTGGCCGATTCGGAACAAGACTTACAACAAATCTTGGACGAGGTTGCCGCAGAGAGTCAAATATGGGCAGCGAAAAATTGGAACAAGTACACCGATTTAAATACCTTGGTGTAATCATTGACGATCAGTTGAACCATGAAGTCGAAATTAAGAGCAGAATTGAACAAGCAAGGCAAGCATTTATTAAATGGAAAACACCCCTTGCAGACCGCAACTTGAGTACATCACTGAAACTGTGCACACTGAAATGCTACATCTGGTCAATTTTGCTGTACGGAGTAGAGACGTGGACACTGACAACAGCAACAAAAAGGCTCGAAGCTTTCGAACTGTGGCATTATCGAAGGATGCTGAAAATCCCATGGACAGCCAAAACCACCAATACACAAGTTGTGCAAGATATGGGCACTGACAGGCAACTGCTGAAGACCATCATTAGCAGGAAGTGTTACTACCTAGGCCACATTGCCCGAAACGACCACAATTACCAGCTATTAAAGCAAATCCTGGAAGGAAAAATCGAAGGGAAAAAACGACCAGGACGGCCATAAACGACATGGCTCAGTAACATCAAAACATGGCTACAATTAACAACAGCACAAACTCGACACGCCGTGCTAGGCCGGGACCAATATCATCGTGAAGTCGCACATGCCGTTAGGCAGCACTAAAGAAGAAGAGCCAATCGGTGAAGGTGATAGGTGCAGCCCCGCAATTGGCTTACTCACGTCACTGCTGGCAGAAGGGTTTCCTCTCACAGAGGAAAGCTCTCGAGAGGCTATTTTTGCCTACTTGTGCATGCCGGGTCTCAGATCCTGGACAGGGAGTGGGCCCACTCTTTAACCCCACCACAAGCCACCTGGCGATCAACTCACCTGTGCTGTACCCATTTTAGAGGACAGAGGCGGATGCGATTTTAGTTTCAACTGCGATGCCGGCAGATTGAACCAGCGACCTCTATTGCCAGTCCAGTACGCTAACCATTACACACCAAGGCAGCATCACATTCCTTTTTCCTCTTATAATATCTGTTTTATCATGGATAAGGAGTCGCACAGAAGGGAGGGTAAATTCATGATATTATTCCACATTTACATCAAGTGACAGCGATGATCTCCCAAAATACTAAATTCATCTTTTTATCTGCATGTTTTCAAGTATTATATATTTACGGATAAGTGTCATGGTGTCAGGGGTAGTGTCAGTGTCAGTGCTAGTGCCAGTGCTACTGTCAGGATGCATGCCAGTGTCAGTGCTCGTGTCAGCGTGAATGTCAAGGCTCATGTCAGTGTGAGTGTTACAGCCAGTGTCAGGGCTAGTGCAAGTGTCAGGGCTACCGATGAATCCATGCATCATTTACATACATAGCGTGTGTGGCGAGCATGGGCAGTGGTGGTGGTGGGTACGGGCGGTGAGTGAAAGCGAGTGGGGCAAGAGGGGGGGGGGAGGCAATTGAGAAGGAGTAAAAGCATGACAGGATGAGCAAGTAACGAGGTGGTGAGCGCGAGAAGGCGGGGGGTTGGTGCGTGAGCGGCCTCACCTTGCGAGCCATGATGAGCGCCGAGGGCTTGTGCAGGACCTTCGTGACGACGCCGCCATTGCCGGCGCCGAGCTCGCTCAGCTTCTCAAAGTCGTCGTCCTTGAGCTCGCCCACCTTTTGCTTCTGCGTGAGGAACGCCTCCAGCCGCTTCTTCTGCTGCTCGTCAAGATCCAGCTCCTCCAGCTTTTTCTGCAGCTCCTCCAGGTTGGCCCTGTGAAGGAGCGATTCGACGACTTAATCATCACCATCATTTTAATTCACTCGGTGTTTCCGCCTGCAGACAGGTCCGATGGACAATTCTCTCTTCAATGTCGCTCCACCTCCCACTGCTCTCCTCGCCTGTCCGTACACACCCGTCCGCTGGCATCATCGGTTTTTTTTCTCCCTTCCTCACAGACTCTTTCCTCGATGACTGCCTCCAGCAAGCCGTAGCCTCTCACCGCTACTTGCCCAATCCAGACGTCCATCACTTAATATTAATATTCACACGACGTTTCACAAAGTGGGGTAACAATCTCGAGACGCCGTGTGGCAGGGGACGGACGCCCCGACAGCAGCTGTGCCCTGCGTGGCACAAGGTGAATGCAGCAACTGTCAGCAAGTGAGCATTCATCTTTTGGTTCTTTCGGTAAAGTCACGTAGAATGGAAATAATAAAATAATAAAAATAAAACATTATAAAATAATTCTCATGACGTTTCGGCCACAACGCAAGCAGCCGACTTATTTTATTATGTTTTATTTTTATTATTTTATTATTTCCATTCTACGTGACTTTACCGAAAGAACCAAGAAGATGAATCCCTGCATTCACGAAAGCTTTAAATCGAAAAGTGAGCATTCGTTCAATACGTAGGCTTTCGCGACCAAACTTATTCAAACTTAAGGTTGTTGGGTTAGATCGCGTAAGCATAAATGTGTCGTAACCCTCCACCACCCGATACAGCCGGTAAGGTTCGTCACGTAAACAAAACGTGCAAATTATCTTCTTGGTTCTTTCGGTAAAGTCACGTAGAAGGGAAGTAATAAAATAATAAAAATAAAACATAATAAAATAATTCTCACGACGTTTCGGCCACAACGCAAGCAGCCGTCCTCAGGTGAAGACCAGGTCTGTTGGGGAGACAGCGTCTGAATGACGCTGTCTCCCCGACTCTCATGCAGACGCTGTCTCCCCGACAGACCTGGTCTTCACCTGAGGACGGCTGTTTGCGTTGTGGCCGAAACGTCGTGAGAATTTTTTTTATTATGTTTTATTTTTATTATTTTATTACTTCCCTTCTACGTGACTTTACCGAAAGAACCAAGAAGATGAATCCCTGCAGTCACGAAAGCTTTAAATCGAAATTTAACGTGCCAATTAGTTTACTACTTCAGCCGACCGCTGTGTTCGAGAGTAAATCCACAACATTTACAATTTAAGAACAATGTTTCGCTGGTAATTACATCCAGCATCATCGGGCGATTTGCCAAAACAGTGAAACAATCCACCTGAAGCCGGTGGGCTGAAGCAGTAACTAATTGGCACGTTTAATTTACTTCACAAACCTTACTGGCTGTGTCGGGTGGCGAAGGGTTCGGACACAAATCTAGATTTGAAGTTTTCGTGACTGCAGGGATCCATACTCTTTGGTTCTTTCGGTAAAGTCACGTAGCTATAAAATTTAAGAAATTAAATAAAATCACGATGTTTCGGGCGCAACACAAGCGTCCGTCATCAGGTGGGACAACCACAGCAAGAAACAATTGCTGAAGCTTGTATTGCGCCCGAAACGTCGTGATTTAATTGATTTATTTTATACCTACGTGACTTTACCGAAAGAACCAAAGAGTATGGTTGGGACACATTTATATTTATGCGATCCAACCCAAAAACATTTAATATGAAGTGATCATTAGTCTGCCAGGAGGGGATGCTGTTTATAAATGGTGATGATAATAATAATGTTCTTAACTTACCCAGGAATCTACAAAGGTGTCAGTTTTGTTGCCAGATAGAAGGGTAAAAAAACAATTATCATATTTTTACTGGCAAATGAGGTTCCCATAGTGTAGATGCTTGTCCCAAGCTCTCATACTCTGATGGTGCATTGTCTTTGAGTTGTGCGCCTTTTGGCGTCATCTGGTCCAACCCATGTGAGACTAGGCTCTAAGGAAAGCTGTCTCGGGTATGGACCAATCAACTTCAAGGACAGTGCATACATTATCAGAGTTATGTTCTTTTGTTTGTATTATGACTGCAGGTATTGCGGTCTATGCAAACATGACAAGGTGTCAGTTTTGTTGCCAGATAGAAGGGCAAAAAAAACCAATTATCTTACCCAGGAATAATTACACTTGAGTCTCAAGACCTGTGGCTCAGGAGGATCCTGCATTGGGAAAATTTGGCCAATTCCGTGAAAGTGAAGTTTGGCTTCAGGAGAGAGGAGATACCAGAGAAGCTGGGGAAACCCTACCAAGCACATGAGGAGGTGAAGTGGACATCTCCACACAGAGAGATTCACAAATCCATTATTGGTATGTCATCTCCTGGCTATTTTGCAGCAAAAGCTTACGACACCTGGTTATTTGTGATGCGGTCGCCCATCCATCCAAGTACTAACCGGGTTCAACAATGACGAGATGGGGCACGTGGCAGTATTATTTTCATCATAAAACATACATTGCCTGATTCATGAGTCATGAATCCAATGTTACCTGAGCCGTGGTGAATTAGAACACCGCTCGCACACACGCGGACGCTGTTCCGCATTTCCCACAAAACCAGCCGTGACACGCCATGCGATTTCGTTTATATTTTTCTTCCGCCTCGCCGCAGATTCATTCTCAACGCAAAAAAACATTATCGTCGATCGGATCCCAGTCAAATGTCGATGACACGGGCGTGCGTGCTTGCCGCGGTTTGTGTTTCCGGTGAGCTGGCAACGGGGAGGGGATAAAAACCACGGGGTGGGTGTTTGGGACCGGTCTGGTGAGCACGCTGCACTACCAACCTGACCACGCGAGTTCGATTCCACGCCAGAGGTGATATCTGAACCGTTTATAAGTAAACTAGCTTTACTACCTGGCTTCGCCCGGGACTTGGATTCACCACGCTCGGCCGCCTTTGTCCCCCCAGTGACGATGTTCACACACCACGAGTTACTCGTATGAGGCTGAGTCGACCTAGGAGGCCCAGGACCGGTTCAAATAATCGTCACCGGTGGTGGCCGTGAGCGGGAATCGAACTCGGGTCGCCGGTTTCGTAGCGCGCGTCCATAGGTAGACATACACGCGCTTGCTGCAGACACACACAACTTTCAGGGTGCGTACGGCAGTAAACGACTCAAATAATAAAGCAGCAATGCTGCGCGAAGAACGCCTTAGACCTGCAACACATTTGTATGGCACTTTACTCGCGGAGGGTTGGGGGGGGGGGGGGATGCGTGACATCAGCAGGCACACTGCGTGACGCTTCCGCATGCGGGTGACATGACAGAGATGTGACGTCACAGCTCACTTGCCGTGCAAAATATATCCATTATTGCGCCCCCCCCCCCCCCCCCCAAATACAAAGGTGTATTTTTATCATTTTTGCATGGTGTACAATCTGGAAAGTACCCACATGCCAAATTTCCAGTTTGTTGCATGTCGGGTAGTATACTAAACATTTTGAACAGATACACATATTCACAAATTTCCCTTCTATATATATATCACTTGTGACCAGCCTGGTGAGGCTCTGGTTAAACAACTCCTACGGCCGACAAGGCGTGTTGAGGTCTTTGTACAGCGGTGGATTGACAAAGAGCTGTAAATGATTATTTGTTGTTTGCGATTGGTTCATGCGATCCATGCAGCCACGGGAGGTGTGACAACGCACCCCGATGTAAAATAATTATTTGAACCTCAAACCTGAATCGTGACAATCAGTCCAATAATTACAGGCCTACATATCATCAGCAGCCATGGTCAATCCACTGCTGGATGAAGGCCTCACCAAGCCTTTGCCATTCCCCTGCGATGCAATGATGCAACAATCCTGCTGCACAGGAGCTGATGTCAACGATTGTTTTTTTTGTTTGTGCCCCCAAATTTTGTTCTAATTCGGTGTGATGCAGAGCGGCAAAGTGTTCGTTTGAAAATCTTTGCAGGAAGCAACACGTACTGCCAAAGTGTTAGAAAATGGCCGCAGAAGTTGGTAACGCAGAACTACTTCGGAGATCCTCTCAAGTGACCCTCTTTTTGTTCACACAACTGGGGTGTTTCACTTTCCATTGTGGTTTTTGTTGGTCCAGTCTTTCCCAAGCATCAATTCCCTTCTGTTCCAACCTAGTAATTTTGGCATCTTGTTACCCGTGCCCAAGGAGACATAGAATTTAGCCCGGTTCCAACCATGCAACCATAACACAGGATACCCACCCCATGACAGATGACAACAGTATCCCCACCACAATGACACACTATCCAACATTCTAACTCGACCACAGACCTTTACAATCACAAACCCACACCCATCTCAATCAATCTCTGCTCAATGGGGAGGTCAATTCCTCTCTGATGCTAGGCACCCTTGACTGGATCTCGCTTCCCTTTGCCATCAGTGCTGAAGAGCCCATGTGCAAATCCAGGCTCAAAATCATCCTCTTTTCCGCTGTGCTTATGACCGTCTCCTTTTCCTTATGCAGTAAACAAGCCTCCTCTTTCTCCAGGATGCCCATTCAGAAGCCACTGGAGCTACGCACTTTTAAATCTCGATTGGAAACTCATTTATCGAGAACCGATTTTTTGCTTTTAGTTTATTTGCCCTTCCCACGCACCACCGATTAGCACGGTTGGCAATGTACGGTGCAAAAGAAGTTCAACATATATATATGCTCTCTACAGCATCTTGAGAAATGGTTGCATTTTGTAGCTGTAAAAATCCAAGTTGTACTGGACTGTATTCAGCAGAGGACAGTCAAACAAGGATTTGTCATCCCCACGGAGGGAAGTTTCGTTTCCAATTCAAGAAAAAAAGTCAAAGTTAGCAATTCATTACTGCACTGAGAGCATAAACTCGCTACGTGTGACAAACCCGGTTTAATCATCCTGTGACGTTCACCCAGATTCGAACCCTAGTGGTGCCGGTTGATTGCCCTGACCATGAACCAACCAGGTCCTCCTCCATGTTTTATTGCGTTTCAAATATATAGATATCAAAAAAGTATTATGCAAAGCCATGGCGATTGCT